CCAGCGGTCACTTGGGCCTGCCCGCTCCTCCGCTGGCCCTGCGGCGCACACCCACGCAGCGCGGGGTCCTGGGCCTCCGCCCCCGCGCGCAGCGGCTGGGAAGGGGCGGCGCGAGGCAGATTCCAACATCTGGCCGCAGCTGTCCGTCGTGGCCGAGAACTGAAGGACTGACAGGCGTGTGCGCCGCCCGAGACCCCGCAGGGTTGCCGATAGAAAGCCCGTCCTCTGAGATGGGGTGGAGGTGAAATGCTGAGGAATAAACTTCTGTCGCTCCTGCACGTTTAAAAACTTGCCAGAGTCCTTCGCTGTTGGGATAAAAGGGAACAGTACTTTTTCCTGGCTGGTTAGAGGCCCCCTGGGTGCCCCATCGTGGCCTGCCAGGGGTCGTAGTGGGCCACAGCGTGCTGAGAGACCTAAGAAAGGAGAGGCTCGGGTGCCACCTGCTTCGCCGGAGCCGAAAGGTGAGCCTCCAGGGCACGTCCCGGAGCTCAGCAGGTCTCCGTCCTCCCGCACGGCACACCCTCAGAGGGAGCCCAGGCCTCGTCTGTCCGTGCCATGGACCTAGCAAAGCACCGCGAGAAACGCCTGCCGATCCCACGGCCTCAACGGCAGGTTGTGTCCTTCATAACTGGAAACAGTTTGCCGCTGACAGTCTGAGAAAAAGCAGCTCCTCTCCTATCACGCACAGTTCGGCCCCAGAATACACTAGGGGGTGGAAGGAAATAGTTACAAAATAGCAGCCTAAATTATTTTGGTTTTTTGTCTTCTTTGAGACAGGATCTCGCTATATAGTTCAGGCTGGCCTTGAGCTCACTTTGTAGCCCAGGCTGGCTTCGAACTCAAAGCGATCCTCCTGCCTCGGCTTCCCAGGTGCTGGGATTACAGGCGTGCACCACCACACCCACTTGTAGTAGCCTAAATTATAAAACTGTTCTTCATTAGATCTTTTTTGCAAACCGCAAGACAAGAGGTCTGAAATCCCTCATGTTCAGGCTTTTCTGGCTCTTTGTCAAAAGCCATGCCCTGCAGAGGCCCAGATGTGGCCCCTGAGGAGGCCCTCCAGCGGGAGAGTCACAGCATGGACACTGTTGTGCTCTGTAGACTCGCTCCTGTCTCTCAGGGAGAGTCGGTCTCTCCGACCTATTTAATAAAAAAAAAAACACACCAGTCTCCCCAACCTCCTGCGTGTAACCCTCAGGCCAGGGAGCCACCCTACTCCCTCCGAATAAGTGGAGAACTCCAAAGGCAGCCCGCCCCAGACACTAGGTCCTCTCTAGCTCCTCCGTGAGCTCCGCAGGCAGCTTCAGGTGGAGCTTCCTACTCAGAGCAGACCATCCTGCTCTTCTAAGTCGCGGCTCTCCCTGCCCCTGAGAGAGCTCACAGGAGTAGAAAGGGCTGCCTGAGTCCAGGTCCCTCTCTGAGCGTCCGATAGCCAACAGTGCAAAGAACATTTAGATCAATTTTCAGAGATCCTAGCAGGTTTGCGGATGGGTTTCAAACTTTGTCCCTTGCTTTTGACTTCTCATGGTGAGATGTCCACTTCGTCCCGGCTCCTTGCTCCACACAGAGGAAAACAAAGACTCCTGGAAGAGGCTGTGCTACAGGGGAAAGAAACTCCCAGCCTGAACGATATCTGGGACAAGTTCGTGTTCTCCAAAATCAAAGAATGAGTTTTAGGAACAACGGCGGTTAAGAGCAGAACATATTTACTGAGGGAAAGAAAGCTTCTGTCCGAGAGAGGGAGAGAAGGGGGCCCGAGTGGGTTGCCCAGGAACCTGTTTTTTCTAGGGATTTTATAGAGCAAAACCGTGAGGTAAGGCAGGTCCAGGGTGGGAAATGTGGGAACTCACAAGGTGGGCGTGAGGTGGGACAAAACTATGATCAACCAGTAAGATGATGAGTATAACTGCTCAGGTCAAATAGATTAAGTCAGGATCAATGGGAGGAGGTTGGGTTAGTGACTCTTCCTGGCTTTTTCAAGGTGATTGATACCTATCTAGAATATCAGTCCCTGACGTCCATCCCTAGGGAGGTGTGTGAGTGCATTTGCTTAATCTTTTGTCTTGAGGTCTGGCCCACAGCGGAAGTACCTGTCTCTCCAGGAGCTGCAAAGAATCTTATCTTTCAAATTGGCTCCTTTGAGGGCCTGGCCCTGTCGGACTGCCTGTAACGTTTCTAACTCAGCTGCCTGCAACAGCTGGGAGATATGCAGATAGACACTGCTGCAGGGTCAGCTGGGAATCTCCCCAGCCAGTCCCTCCTACTGAACCCAAATGGGACTCAGTGCTACAGGCAGACTAGACGTGAGGTCTACGTGACTGCACTTACCTTGGAATGAAAAACGCATTCAGAAACCTGTTAAGTATGAAAAGGTGAGAAAGATTACTCAGGGTAAAGAGGAACATCCAGCTGTCTTTTGCATAAGTATGCAAACTAAAGATCCATCCTCCTTGGAGGGACAGGCACTAATGGGACATTTCATTAGTCACTCAGCCCCAGACAGTCAGTGCAAACTGTAAACTTCAGAGGAGTCCTCAGACCCCAGTGGCCCAGTTGCTAGATAGCTTTTCCCATGCTCAACAGCTGGGATCTGAAAGAGGATGAAAAAGGAGGGGAACCAAGAACAAAGGCGGAAGTATGACTGCTGCCACTGGCAGTGCCGGAAGCTGTCCAAGGGACAGCCCAAGCCAAACCACAGGAAGAGTTCCTACTGTAAATGCAGAAAAGCCCGTGTGAGGACGTGCCCGCGCTGTGCCTGCCCTGTGCCTCAGTTGCTGAGGTGAGTGATGCATGGCACTGCGGGGCTGACTGCCCCCACTGTCGGCGAGGGGCGAAGCCAAACAAATCTCTCACTTCTAGCCCTGCGGGGACAGAAGGGCCTGGGCAAACTGCAGCACCCTGTCCAGAGATCTTGGTTGCCGTGGCTAAGCAAGTTCAGTTCCTTAGAAATGCAGGACGACTTGCTGTTTTCACTTCCTTCTCCAGCCAGCCCCCAGCTAGATCTATAGCCACAACCCGAGTCCACAGAAGCCCTCATCAGAACTTCTTTCCTCCGGCTTTGACTTGTTAATTTGCAGCTTAAATGTTCAACTGTGAGTTATTAATTGTCCCCTGGTGTCCCACTCGATCAGGAAGAGATTTGCTTTTGAAAGCAAGGGCTGCTCTCCAATTCTGGCAAAGGCCAAAGTGGATTTTACCTGGTGGGACTAGTCCAGGCCTCCCTGACCTGATTACCCACAGGGGCTCTGCTCCCTGGTCTAGCAGAAAGCCTGGGAGAGGAAGTGAGCGGGGCAGGAGTCCCAGCACCGAAAGGTCCCAGCCAGTTTCCCAACCGGAAACAATACCTCTCTAAGGAAAGGCTGCCGGAGGCCTCCAGCCACCCATAGGCGAGTTTCGCAAACGTGACCTTGTGTGACCTTCTGTGTCGTCCGCCTGCAACAGCCCCACCCTCCCTGCAGTGAAACTGTCAGGAGAACGTCAGATGAGACAAGATCTCTGGCTCTCGAATGAGGCTGTGACCCCAGTCCAGCCCAGGGGCAGAGCCGTCTACAATCTGCTCCCAAGTGCCCGGAGACACAGACTGGTCCCTGGTCTTGGACCTCAAAAATGCTTTGATTTCTATTCCTCTCTCTTCAGACTTCCTTGGACTGTGCCCCACAGGACTTTAGAGATGGCACCCACCTTTCCTTGGGCACTGGGAAAGGATTTAAGAAACCTAGAGCTTAAACAGGGAGCCATCCTACAGGATGTAGAGGATAGGCTAACCTATATCTATAAAAAAGGTAGTTAAGATAGTTATACTACTAATTTCTCTTAGTTCATTGAAAAGAAAAGTTTGTGCTAATACCGTTTGGACAATTAAATGCCCATATCTTGTACTCTGAGTAACTAATTTAAAGATAACAACAAGCAATGTATTAACCATCATTATCCTCCTATTACCTTATTTTAAAATTTTGGGGTTTTTTTCCTCATTAAAATAAAATGGAAGCCTGTAAAAGCCCTTCATGATCCTTTCCACACGGGAAGAAATGCTACACGGGAAATAGTTACTCAGATCTCACAGGACCGGGGCTACTGGTTATGTCCCCACAGGTCTGCCACGCTTGTCCACCCTGTACCTACAATAACCCTGGCCACCCCGGACCTCCTGTGGGAACCCATACAGAGGAGAGGGACCTACCCGGGAAGCCTGGCAATTAGACTTCAGCCACATGCCACACATGCTCCTAAACAGATGTTGGTCCTAATTGACACCTTTGCAGGGTGAGCTGCGGCCTTACCTACCAACTCAGAGAAAGCTGCGGGGGCCAGCTGCTTCTCAA